TTTTTTTTCTGTGGTGAGGTTTTTGTGGTTGAGATTTGAAAGGAGAAAGTGCGTGTGTGGAATTGTTGCAGGGCGCAGGTGGTGGGCTGGCCGCCGGTGAGGTCCTTCAGGAAAAACGTGATGGCGGTTCAGAAGAAGAGTGAGGCGGAGGATGCTGAGAAGGTGGCCGCCGCCGGCGGCGGCGGAGGCGGCGGCGCCGCATTTGTGAAGGTGAGCATGGACGGGGCTCCGTACCTGCGGAAGGTGGACTTGAAGATGTACAAGGCTTATCAGGAGCTGTACGATGCCCTGGGCAAAATGTTCAGCTCTTTCACCATGGGTAAATACTAAATAGAATTGTGGTCCAAACTTTATCCAGTTTTTATTTCTTTCTTTTTTTTTTCTTTATTTTCGTTTTCTGCAAATTCGTTTTTAATTTGGAAATCTCTGTGAAAACAAATCTGTCTGCGGTGGTGATTGCTAGTAAAAGCCGGAAATATTTGTGAAAAATCACTTAAAAAAATGAATATGTGAAAATTAAGTTTCATATATAATTTATCAGTTCTTATCTAAATAAATTTTGAATAATCCTTCTTCTTATGTTCATTTCATAAAAGATAATAAATCCGAACGATCCATCTTCGTTTTCTGGCTCCTCTGCAAGGTTTATTCATTGATCTTTCGACCCGTTATCTACAATTACATAAAACATCCAACAGGGATTGTTAATTGGTGAATATTGATCAAACTAATCGAATACAATCAATAAAAATTGCCGTACCAAAGGGAATGATTTTTGAGATATATGTGTATAGATCTTGTGTTGAGGGAATGATTTTTGAGATATATGTTTCTATTATGAAGTGAAATGTGACTCGGAAGGGATGATGGACTTCATGAACGAGAGCAAGCTGATGGACCTTCTGAACGGCTCTGATTATGTGCCGACCTACGAAGACAAAGATGGAGATTGGATGCTTGTCGGCGATGTCCCTTGGGGGTAAGTGAGCTCAAAAAATTTGGAAAAAATAAAAATAAAAATAATAATAAAACTAAATAAATAATTCCCAAATACTTTTAGCTAGAAATGCAACAAACTTAATAATTCCTCTCTGTAATAATTTGTGACAAATGTGTTTGTTTGTATGTCAAACTAGGATGTTTGTTGAATCATGCAAGCGCCTTCGTATAATGAAAGGAACAGAAGCCAAGGGACTTGGTAAGTATAATATGCTCAACAAACCCCCCATTCTATTGCTATATGAATTTTTTTTTAAATTTAATTTGAAGTCATTCGATCATATATCCATTACGGTCCTATCACGAAAACATAGCCGATATATGGAAAAATTTCCCTGGTACAAAGTGAACCTGATCTCCTTTTCTATTGTTCACTTAAAATTTAACTAGATGGGTCCTTTTCTTTTTCCTTGAGAATAAATATTGTGTGTGAAATCACCTTGAAATACACATAATTTCAACATAAGTGAACAGTGAATACTTCTCATCACCTTATGAAGTTATCAATGTAACAAGATTTTGTTTCCCTTGCAATTATACTTCAATAATTATCAACTTGCAATAAAATAAAACAAAATGAAATAAAATCAAGGTCCCAACAAGGCAACAACTTGTCCCATCCCATGTTTGTACACTGCACATTCACAATCCTCAAAATCCGCACTAAGTTAACTCCATAGGGTCCACTAAAACATTTTTTTTTTTTCCCATTTTTTCATCAGCACCTCGAGCCATGGAGAAATGTAAAAGCAGAAGCTAATAAATGCATTTCGAGTAAAAGAAAATTCGACCCAGCGGCCTGCTCCTTTGATCTTAGTGTGGCTGATGATGTTCATAACTACTGCACGAGCGACGAGCGCACGAGATGGATTGAGCAGGAAGCTGGATCTGTGTCTGTACTATTTGTTACATGGTTTGGTTTTTATTATTGTAATAATAAGGCATTCTTAATTATCAAAGAATTTATTGTTATTATTATTGTTACTTACTCGTGCCCTGAACTTATTGTGTAGTTTGTTTGTGTTTTGTGCTCTTTAATAATGTGTGTCCTGTGTCCTGGCTTGTGTCTTTGATCTATCAGATACCTCTTTGAATTGTATATCATAAGCATTTGTGTGTGTGTGTGTGTGTGTGTGTGTGTATGTGTGGCGTTTTTGTCTTTTGCTATGCTAAAAAACTTGTCTATTAATTGTTTTTATTGTTTCCTGTTTAATGAAAAGACAACATATGATGGGCTGAAACTTGAGGAGGAGCATAGGCATGTGCCTGATAAATGCACAATAGAGGTACTAATCCCTACTAAATTTGGTTGGCTTGGCTGGTGGTTAATTAAACTCACATGGGGTATAGTGGGTTTGGAGAATAACAAACTCTAGTTAGGGACGTTTTTTATACTTCGTGTTTATTTTTTAATTGTATGACCATGGTATTAGGTTTGAACAAAATTCAATTTAGAAAAGAGATAGGTCTTCAATATTGGTCTCATAATTTCTCTCTCCTCATCCAAAAAATCCATAAATCAGAAAAGAAAAGAAAAGAAAACTTTCGGTCGTGCAATGCCTCCTCTCCTGTGGGGGATGATATCCCTCGACGTAGGTTGGTATCGGGTCAGACTCTTGGATAGGCGACGCTTCTCCTCGGCGGGCTCTCGATTTTCCCCTTCCGCTTGGTTTCTCCCATATCCGAGAGCCATGACGGATGTAGGTGGGAGGGTCGATGATTCGCCGGAGGTTTCGCAGTGACTGGTGCCATAGTTCTACCATGTTCCTTCTATCTCTAGTGTTGGGATGGAGGAGGTTTCCGGAGAATGTTGTTGTTTGGGTTGCGGCTGCTAGTTTGGTGGTGGAGAGTGCTGTGTTTGGGGGGGCTCCTAGGACTATCTGTGGTGGCAATCTTCAGGTTGGTTTTGGGTCATTGGTCTGTGTCGAGTTAGCCATAAGAGGAGTTTCTCAATCCGACATTGGGTCGTGGGCTACTTAGTTGTCCCGTTGGTTGCTTGCCTTTTGGTTTCAAGTTTTCCGTCTAGGAGAGGATGTCGGTCCAGGTTGTCCATATTCAGTCAGCCACCGAATGTTTCCAGATCTGCGACTTGAGCCGGAGTTCTATCCATGTCGAGGTGGTAACCACCGTGTGTTGGTCCCAAAGCGGCTCGCAAGTGGAGAGGGTATTATTCTAGTTTACTTGGTGTTCAATATTTTTGCTTAGTGTGTGTGTGTGTTTTGTTTTAGGGTTTATTCTCCATTTTTAGAGTTAGAATTTCAATTTGTGGGAGCTTAGATTATTGTTTTCGTGGTTAGTGGGTCTGCTAGTATAGTAGTTTCTCTCTGAATTCTCTCTGAACTCAGCAGAACTCAGCTTTTAGCTCCTTCAGTCGACCAGTTAGTTGCTTGTTAACAATTTTTATTACAGAAATGTGTCGTTACCGAAAAAAAAAAAAAAAAAGGTCTTCTGTTAGGCTGCCTAATTGTGGTTAGACATCCACACTCATTCCATTGTACATATTTTCACACTCAAAGCATACTTTAGAATACAATATAAACCAAAAATGGCTTTTCATTGCATAGGCATTTATTTTTTGTAAGAATGTAAGGATGTCTAACATTTAGGCAGTGTGCCATGGAAAATATACGTGTAGTCGATCTTTTTTCTGAATCAGCCCAAAGGCCACACTACACAAGTTGTGTTACTCAAAGATGTAAATGGTAAACGAGATAGGAGAACCAATACGCCTCCTAAAGGCAAGAAAGACAGATTTATTGACCTTTAAGCAGATTTTAAACCTAGTAAACTGAACAAGAATTGGTCACAGGGTTAAACTTTCAGAGTTACAAAAGCAAAGTCATTATTCAATTTCCATTATTGACAAATGAGGGTTTAAGCTTGTAAAGGGAACCTGTTCATTCTGTTCTACTTTGATTCACGGCGAGATGTCTACTGATTTGATTATCAAATCTGCGTTTTTACTTGACTTCATTATCAGCTCCGCATTGGGCCGGTCATTATAGTCTATCTGCAGCACGAATAAGTAAAAATATACTCACTTTAATACTTTTGAGAAATTAGTTGTTGAAAAATAAAAATGAAAAGAAAGATGATGTAAAATTTTACCCGCCATTTAGCAACATCAGGGGGTTTTCCTTCATAGTCGAGCGAAATCAGCGTTAGGTAATTTTCATACACGTTAACAAACTAAAGTATAAGCGGAAAGACTCACTCACCTGTCGATATGTGCCTTTTTAAAACCCGTTGCATTGCTTTGTCAATGTCGACGTCAATGAACCTGGGATATGAATTACAATAAATGAAAAAAAAAAGTTCGTCCAAGTTTACATCTATACTTAATCTTATAAACAATATTAACTGATAACGAGTCTTCATCAAGTAAGATATTCGCCTCATTCAACAAAAGACAAGCTCCCACACCAACATCATTTTGTACATGTGTCAATCAGCCACTACAAGTTACACTTCAACAACATTACTTCAGGAAGACCAGAATTAAATTTCTCAAAAGGCAATATTCGATTGATCAGTCAATATATAATGGATTTTGCAGTTGTGGGAAAATAAGCTGATTTTTGCACCCGGTGCGGAAAAAAAAAAAAAAAAAAAATGCTATTAGAGAACTAGTTCACATACTTTTCAGGACTAAAACTATTAGAAAATGTAAACTACCACTTCTCGTCAAATATGGATGAGATATCCCTCCACACATCCTCATCCAAAAGCAAGTAGTTACCTTCAACTATCACTACTTTGTGCCTGCAGCAAGCGATAAAAAGGTAACAAACTGCAAGATATATTGTTATGCAGTCAGGTTTTAATCTGCTTGCATAAAAGCAGGAACTCCTGAAGTAAAATCCACAAAAGAATCACAAATAAGTTCAAATAATAAGGATGCTTAGGCACAAAGCATCATTTTCACAATAATTTGGCCATCTGATGATTGGCGTTAATAACTCCTCTTTCCCACTGTTCTAAAAATCGGCCTAGGCGGCCGCCTATTAGATACACCACAAGTTGGACATTTGTGGTATGAGTAATGCTACATGAACGTAGTAATGTGTGCATAAAGGCGTACATACACTCACATGGGGTGCGGGCCATCTAAATAAAATATTCAAGTGAACCCAACCCATGTGAGAGTATGTAAACCTTTATGTACAAATTATTATGTCGAGTAGAATTATCCTTGTGGTACAATATCGATTTATTATAAACTGGAAACACTAAATTCAGGTTGTGCTGCAGGCCTTATATACACATATCCAGGACAAAATGTGAACCAAACATGGTGGTGAATAAGCTTCTGCACTCGTTTAAAAATAAGCCACTCAATCAACTTTTCTTACTGTATGTTTTTAATATTAATACCTAAACCATAGAATGAGTTTAAAAGATAAGAGCTAGCCAGAAAGAACAATCAGAAAGTCCATTACGAACAAGGCCACACTCCAGTAGAAACAGCTTCTAAGCACACATTTACCCATTTATCATAAATGCTGGGTTTCTCAATATCCACTTTACAGAAAGTAGCTCCACTCAAGTGTGAGTACGTAAATTGATCCATACTGGAAAGGGCAATAAATTTTTCTGAACACATATGGACCACTATTCAATAAAAATGCACAACTTACTGAAGGCTCACGAAGATATCATCTTCAACAGGGTCCCCCAAGCCATGGTCAAATGACGGGACATACACTGATCCCTTTTAGGAGAAAATGGTATATACAGATAATCAATTACAGCAGGAATAAAGGGCAATGCAAAGCCTATAGTTATTCATTATGTAGTGCTCGTCATGTTGAATGTTAACATAGTAACTGAAAGTAATCAAAGATAACCTCGTTTCTCAGATTCGTGAGACACCTCAACAGCCGTTCGGGATCAAATGTCCAAGGAGCTGAATCATGATCAGAAAGATCAATACTCTCAAGCATATAGGCTTAAAAATAATCAAACTCAAGGAAAGGCCTCACATCCTCTTCTCGCGTGAGCTTCCTTTGGATCCTAATAATTAATGAAACAAAATCAGACAATGAGAATTGCCAATAAAAAGTAATGAGAATAACCAGCGAATTTTTCAAGGATAGAGCAATACACAAATGAATTACTGAAAAGACAAACAAATTAGAATGGTTATTAGTAAAGCAACCAAATTTTGCTAGTCAATATCTTCTTGTGTCATTGCTATATGATTGACATTAACCTTCATAGAGTCCAGCTGATGACGATAAAGATGGAATCCATCCATAGGGAGCACAATTGCAACCTCTGGAGACTCTACTAGAGAATCAAAGCAAGAGGATCTTTGGGCCCACAGCTTATTGACGCGGGTAGCTACAGAAGATGCAAGGGTGCTCTTTCCAGCACCTGGAGGCCCACAAAGAGCAACTATATGCCTGTATGCAGGATTTGTGTCAGTCTACTACTTTCCATATAGTTTGAGACTTGATAAATCAAACTCAAACATCAGAACAAGGATAAGAATCAACTAAGTGCTCTTAAATAAAGTTAGGTGGTTACAAAAAATAGTTACGCAATAGTTAACACAACTTTTACGTGTGATGGAACAGGATGGAAAGCAGAAAATCTGGTTAGTAGCTCAGTGCATGGGTTAGAACTTAAATACATAATTAAGTTCGCTTTACAAAAGCCATACGTGTGGTAAGATTCCAAAACTCACTTAAAATTGGTATTCGACTCAGCTGCTGCAATGGGAACAAGACGTTCAGCCAAGATATCATATACTTCATCCATGCACCTGATAGAAATGACTAAATCGATTCACTAAAAAATATAATAAACGAACAGAAAACAAAAAAGCGTTCAGAATGAGGGCACATTTAAGGACTACCAAAGTGTTAATGTTAGAGAGAAGATGCAGATAGTGTGGAGCATAATGAATTGTTGTATTGCAATAATGGCAGTGATGTTTATATACAGTACATGAAGATAAGAGAGAGATAGTAACTCTGCAACCTAACAATATTTTGTAACTAATCACACGTGCTTAACCATGCACTAATCATGCACACACTTAACTAACTAACTCAATTAATGACCTAACTATGTAACTACTCCAATACACCCCCTTGAAACCGAGCTGGGGCAAGCCAAGACCTTGTGCTGTAAAGGCAACTTCGAGCAGAGGAAAGAAAAGCGGCCAGGACCAAGAGGCTTAGTAAGAAGATCCGCAAGTTGAAGTTCAGTGGAGATATATCTAACATCAATTTCTTTGGCAGCAACTTTTTCTCTTACAAAGTGAATATCAATTTCTATATGTTTGGTACGAGCATGCTGAACTGGATTAGAAGCAAGAGCTGCAGCACTCACATTATCACACCATAAGATAGAAGGAGATTCAAAAAACAGACCTAGTTCATGAAACAAGGAATGCAATCCAAAGAAGATCAGATGAGGCAGTAGCAAGGGACCTATACTCTGATTCTGCACTACTCCTGGAGACAACCTGCTGCTTTTTGTAGCTCCAACACAAAAGATTTTGGCCAAGCATAATAAAGTGGCCTCCAGTAGACCTTCTATCATCCAGACAGCTGGCCCAATCAGCATCAGTGTAAGCCTCAAGAGTAAACCTCTTCACAGGTTGAAAAGAGAGGCCAAGAAAGAGAGTGCCTTTGATATACCTGAGTAGGTGTTTGCAAGCAAGCCAGTGATGAACAGTAGGACCATGTAAGAACTGACTTAACTTGTTAACAGCAAATGAGATATATGGCCTTGTCATAGTTAAATATTGTAAGGCACCAACAACACTCCTATACAATGTGACTTTGGAGAAGGGTTCACTATCTGCAAGATGCAACTTGGATGCTGGAGAGAGGTGTAGACACAGGCTTACAATTTACCATATTTGTCTTAACCAGTAAATCCAAAGCATATTTTGATTGATTTAACAGAAAACCATCATGACTTTTGAGAGCTTCAAAACCAAGAAAGTGGTTAACCTCCCCCATGGATTTCAAGGCAAACTGAGTGCCAAGAGTAGTGATCAAGTCATTAACAGAGGTAAGGTTGTCTCCTGTTATTAAAATATCATCCACATAAATGAGAACAAGAAGCAAGTCCCCATGAGATCTCTTAAAGAAAAGTGAAGAATCAGACACACTTTCCTTAAAATCAAGAGACAGAAGAAAACCTTTAATCTTATTAAACCAGGCCCTAGGTGCCTGTTTAAGACCATAGAGGGACTTGGTGAACTTGCAAACAGTTGTAGGCCTAGAAGAGTCAACAAAACCAGCAGGTTGAGACATATAAACTGTTTCATGCAAGTCTCCATTGAGAAAGGCATTGTTGATGTCAATTTGTTGGATGGACCAAGCATAAGTAGCAGCTAGTGTGAAAACCAACCTAATGGTGCTAGCCTTAATAACTGGACTGAAAGTCTCCAAAAAATCCACTCCAGCTGTTTGTTGAAAACCACGAGCCACTAATCTAGCTTTGAATTTATCAACTGAGCCATCAAGTTTATACTTTGTTCTGAACACCCATTTGTTGGAACACCCATTTGTTGGAGATAACTTTCATATCAGGATGAGGATCCACTAGTACACAAGTGTTGTTGGAAAGTAATGCCTGAAATTCACTTTGCATAGCAGCAAGCCACTCAGGTCTAGAGAGAGCCTCAGCAATAGTAGCAGGTTCAAGAAGTAGTGGTTTGCAAAGGTTAGCTGCATATGTCTTGAGTTTGAAAATACCAGCTTTGGAGTTGGTGACCATGTGATGTGTAGGAAGAGGTGCAGGTGAAGAATCCTGCTGTAAGGAGGAAGAAGAAGAAGAAGAGGCCCTTAAAGGTTGAGAGGAAGAACTAGTGACAAGAGATATAGGTAAGTTAACAAAGAGGGGAACAGTAGAATGTGAAGAGAAACAAAAAAGCGTTCAGAATGAGGGCACATTTAAGGACTACCAAAGTGTTAATGTTAGAGAGAAGATGCAGATAGTGTGGAGCATAATGAATTGTTGTATTGCAATACTGGCAGTGATGTTTATATATAGTACATGAAGATAAGAGAGAGATAGTAACTCTGCAACCTAACAATTGTGTAACTAATCACACGTGCTTAACCATGCACTAATCATGCACACACTTAACTAACTAATGACCTAACTATGTAACTACTCCAATAGTTAACAAAGAAACCAGTAAGCTCCTATTGAGAGAAGCATCCTTCGGAATAAGCAACTACACAAGCTTCCTTAACTTTTTAAATCTCTATAGACACTCTTCAGTATGCCCAGAATAAAAGACCAAATCCATTGATAAGCCATTACCAACAGTCCAAATAGGAAAAGATAACATATATTCTGTTTCATCCTCACAGAATTTCTTAGTTTTACAAAATGGAAGGAGAAAAATAATACCAAATACATAGATTCAGATAAGTTTCAACTTATTTAGAGTTTATAAGAGAGATTATACTCCATAAGCACCACACATATTATGGAAATTCTTAATAAATTTACCAACATCTGCCTGAAGAGACCTTAAAGAGAGAACTCATATGGCACCAAATGCAAAAGCATTCATCATTTTTTAAAAATAGAGATGAGATTAATTAATGCTAAAAATCCAGCAGTCGACAATAACATCTTTGGCCAAGGAAGGTTTCACCATCTAGCAGAAGCGTAACGACGATAGCTTACCCTGCCTTAATAACAGGGACTTCCTTCAATTGACATCTAAAAACCTGAATCCAACAAAAGAGAAAAGAAATCTTTAGCAACCAAAAACAGAACAAAAATTAAATAATAGCAGTAACAACAATAATGATGATGATGACAATCAAATTTGAACTTATGCTTCAAAAATGAACTGAAAGTGTGAAGTTAACATTACAAAATGAGATCCAAGGAAATTGAAAAACAAAACCTGTAAATGATTTTGTTTCTGATTTGAAGCTCCATTCTGACCCACCAAAGACCTCAAGGCCCTCTTCTTTGGCAACAAATGAGCCTGATTCCATTTGGGAAACCATGTCTTTTGCAGTGGCAATGCTTCTACATTCAGTAAATTGAAAGAAACAACAGTTCAGACAAATTTTAAGAAAAAAAATATCAACATAAGCATTAATTTGACAATTTATGCACGCAAGCATCATATGAACCATCAGGAAATGTTAAGAAAGACGTGGCTCGTTACACAGAGAAAGCACAGTCATCGAACATGAACCATAATTATCAAAATATATACACGCTTACACAGACAGACTCTAAAATTATCATGTCTTTTACACAAACACGGTCATCGATTGGCAACAAATGAGCCTGAATTCATTCAGGAAATCATGTCTTTTGCAGAAGCAATGCCTCTATGTTCAGTACATCAAAGGAAATAACAGTTTGGACAACATTAAAAGAAAATAACAACAAATTAATCATTAATTTACAATTTATGTACACAAACATCACATGAACGATCAGAAAGCGTTCAGAAATTGGCTGCTCGTTACACAGAGAAAGCAGAACCACAGTCATCGAATTCGACCATATTTATTACAATATACACACGCTTACACATATATACTTCAGAATTGGACAACGGAATTAATATTCACATAATAGTAGAGCATAATGTTCAAACGCTTAATCATGAATTGATGTTTTTCTTCCGTAAAACTCCGATAAAGTCCAGTTATCAGATAGATGATAAAAATAGGACTTTCACCTGAGGAAGGCTGCCGGAGGGCTTTGCAGGTGGTTGAAAGCGACGAGACCTCCATATCTGAGCTCAAAATCCGGTGGCGATTTAAGCTTGCGATAGCAGAATCATTGTACTGGAAAAATAACATCAAATTTTGAAGTTAACTCCCCGGCCACGTGGCTGGAGAAAAATATACCTAGTTTGATTTTTTAGGAAGATAAAAATATAATAAATACTATAGTTTGATTTTTTTAGGAAGATGCTACGGTCCGGAAATATTTTATCGAGATTTGAAATGGTTAGATCAACTATCTCTAATAGTTACATGATGATCTAACGATTACATATCTCGATGGAATGATTCTGTAACGGGACCTTAGCATTTCTTAATTTTTTAGCTTTTAAGTTTCCAACAAAATATCATTTAACTAAAATTTATAATTTGAGCACAACGTTTTAAATTTACTTTTAATGGATACAATTTTAATTTTCTGAATTTCAAGTCTAGATAACCATATTGATATCTCTTGATTTTTCGTTGAGCGAAAAAGCTTTTTGTTTGAGTAGACCTATAAATTTTTATTTTTATTTTCTTTTACTTCAACCTCTCTCAAATAATTTTTCATTTCTAAATTATTTTAGAATACACGTCTAATATTTTATTTCATGTTTACATCACACACTAGAAATAACTTCGCCAATTATACAACTTTTTTTTTAAATATTATATATTTTTTCATTATTACTCTCATCTAGTTAATAAATACATCAAGTCTTTTCACAATCACTCTTTATCTTTTTCAAGCATTCATCTCTATTTTCATTAATGAAGATTATTATTGACCAAAAAAATTCTTAATTACTATACAACTTTTCAAAACGACATTTATTAAAAATAAGAAAAAGTACAACATAATATTTAACCTAATTGCAATTTCAATGTTCTTTTCAAATTTTAGCACTTTAATGCATGAATTTTCAATTTTGTGAAAATCAAATCATGAGCCCAAAGTATCAAAAACCAGACAATGATGTGATCCATTTTATTTATTTATTTTTTTTTTTTTAAAAAGTTAACATCAAACATCCAATTGGAACAAGAAAATCTTTTTCTTTTATTGATTCTAATAAGTAATAATTGCTCCCTCATGTGAGAAACATTTTAACAGAGGGCACCAAGGGAAAATAATTTTAGTAAAATAGGAAAAAGCCACCACCATAAAAGTGTCTAAAAAATCTAAAATGTAACGAAGAGTCCAGCCAAACACGCCCTTAATTGAATTTAAACAACAAATAAAAGTACATACAGCCAATACACCAAACCATCTAATGATCTCATCACAGATTCGAGAAAAAAATTGCTCTCATTTTCTACAAAGTCCTCGCAATCACTGCACATTGGTGTTTTACAAGCCTTCGACGTTTTTTGTCATCTTCACATGGCTGCAATGGTTTTACACAAGACTAGAAAATCTCAAGCACAGACAATAGCTAAAATGGTTTGATGATTATAGTAAGATTGAATGGTTAAGGTCAGTTAAAATTTTTTTACCTGAGGGCTGCAGAAATATGGTATGCGAACCCTTTTGGAGCCGTCGGGTAATCTTTTGGAGGGAACTTGAGTATCGACAGAACTCAAGTTACCCGTGACCTGCACAGAATTTATGTTAAGGATTGTAAGAAGGAAGGTTTAAAGATAAAAAGAAGCTGAGATTTGATAAGATTGAGCAAGAACTCTGGTGGAAAAATTTAAGGGCTGTTATAATTCATTTTAAAAACTCAACTCAAAGGAAAAAATGGGAATCAAAGTTGCAAATTTGCACAGTCAGTCACTTTGTTTAAGTTTGCAAATTGGAATTCATCGGTGGAAGAGTTTAGTGTACATATATGCTTACCTGAGTTTCAATGGTCTTGACGAGCATGTGTTCACAATCAGATGCGTATACACTTTCTAGATTGGCACAGTGGAGTAGCAGCCTCTCTGGTGTCAAAATGCAGTTGCAAATATTGTTAGAATTATACATCCAAAAGAAAACCGTTGTAGACTTAGATCGATATAGCTGATTCTCAAAGTACCTGGATTCAAATTCCTACAAGAGTTGAGGTTTAATTCTGTAAGATGGGGACAATTTAAATACAAAGCCTGCATTTTGAAGATTCTCATATTAGACCACAAAAAAAGAACTTTGATAAAAGAGAAAATCAAGAAGTCTTAAGCAAATCTTACATCCAGCCCAGAACAACCCCATAAACTTAGTTTCTTTAGCCGGTTGTGCTTGATAATTAACTTCTGGTATATAAGGTGCATCTTGTTGTTGGGTGTTTTTTGTAATTCCAACCCATTATCCTCATCATTGGAGGATATTTCGGAATTGGGATCACATATGGTCATTCCACAGTCCATAAGTTCTAGACGAGGAAGCTCGGCAGCAGCAAATTGAATGCCGCCTAACAAAACAAGAAGGCATAAAAAAGTTAAAGGCTGATGATAATATAATGTCAGAAGCATACGAGTGTATTAATAAATGACAGGTGAATTACTTGAAGTGATGTTTGGACAGAGAGAGAGTAATAGTTTTGATAATGTCTCGGGAAAGACATTGCAGATCATCCCAATGCCACTGTCACTGATGCTAGACCTAATACAAAGCAACGAACCAAGAAGACATTATTCACTGAAAAACAATTGGCAAATCAAGAATATAAATTTGTCAAAACATTGAGATTGACTGTTTTTAGTTATTAATAAGGAAAGAACATACCCACTAAGATCAAGCAACTCCAGTTTTGGAAAACTTGAACCAATGGCTGCCACTGATGCATCAGTTATCCCTGATCCAAGAACAAGAGACAGCATTCGCAATCCCCTAATTTTGCAGAAGCAGATAAAAATTGATCAACAAACCAAAATCATAGAATTGAAAATTCACTAATCACAAAAACAAATATCAACCTCAAATTTGCAGCTGAGAGGGCCAAAACCACATCATGTGAGAGCAAAATCGATGCAATATGTATGTTCTGGAGCTTAGGACAGCTTCTTCCCAATCCATCCATAACAGTTCTAAGGTCAGTGCTATCGTTTTCTTGGCAAGAGAAGTCCAAAGAAATCTCTTTTAAATTTGGGCAATTAAAAATCTGCACACACAATATGCAATAAGTTGATAAATAGAAGTATTCAGATATGGTTAAGTAAAAGTAGTCAACTCCAACAGGCAATTACCATCTTAGAAAGGGAGTGAAGATCTGAAAGCCAAAGAGTGGAGAGACTTGTTGAAGAAAATACAAAACCCCCAAGGTTACCGCATCCTTCCATCTTGAGACTGGTTAGGCATCTTTTATCGGCAACAAAACGACTCAACTCATCTCTGAAAGAGTTTATAACATTAATTGAACTTCACTCCACACTACATGCAATTAGAGTCATCTTGAAATATAATAACACATTGGCACATGAGGAGGTAAAAGCAGCTTAGTCTGAATACTAATTTGCAATAAGTTTCAACACTAGCCAACAAGGAACATGAGCTAGTTAGGTTGGAAAGAATATGTTGAACTTTTCATAACTGAGGGTGCTAATTAGCATATAAATTTTGAGGATCAATTCATTTTTTAATAAATCTTCAATTTACCTCAAAATAAGATTAGTTGTGACACCATCATGATCACAAAATTAACAATCAAACAAGTTTCAAGAATATGTCAAAACAACTTCTGTGAAGCAATCAATCACAATAGCATCACAAACTTCAATTATATGCAAAAAAAATAAATAAATAATAACATTAATGCATACTAATCACAGCTAAAAAAAGATAAATACATTGATAAAACAACAATTACAGAGTATAGATCTTTATCAAAGAGTTGAGTTCGCTACCCAGAGATCCGATTAATGGATGAATCAGAAGTAAGGATCTCCAGAGACTGCAAGTTTGGACACGAGAAGGCAATACAAGCCAGCATTGTTGCATCAACATCACTGCAAAACCAAAACACCAAATCAAATTATAATCAGATCAAGAACAACTTCCCTGCAGCAATATGATAACATAACCAAATTCCATGAAATTCGTTGATCCTCAAATTAAAGTTCATATATTTAATCATTGAATCCTTTTAATTCCCATCAAGTGTTTATTCTAGTGTGCAATTTTGTCTGGATAACTATCCTACATGAGAATGCACCATGTTTATTAACTGTATGTCTTTAGCTTTCATTGTTCTTAAAGAAGACTGTGAATTCCAACTCCCAAGCTTCAGTAATCACCGGATCCAATCCATAGAACCTTAGATCTACCACAAGTCATCGGAACCCTAACCTTTCACTTCTCAGCGACAGTCTAATCAGCCCAGAGCATTTTTGCAGAATGGACCCAACAAATCCGATCTGTGCCTTCGCGGGAACCCTGACCCGCAGCTCCTCCGCCGCACGCCAGAGCTTCCTCGTCGTTTCCCTCCACCCTCTGCACACCCCCGCCGCCGACAGCAGCCCTGACGGCGGCACCCTACGCAAAACCTCCCACAAACAGCTCATCGGCAAACCACTCGACTCGTCCGGATCCGGATACTCTTCCAGATCGACCTGCTCCTCGTCCGCCCGGTCGATCGACTCGGCCACGCCGGGATCGTCAAACAACAAGGCCCGCCGTCGCCTCGCCGGGGGCGGAGGCGTCGCGCATACCAGCTTCTCCGCCGCCACGGCGGACGAATCAACGCCGCTGGCCGCCGGCGTGGACACGGGGGTGGCCGCGCCATCGTCGTTGGAAGCGTAGGGGCACTTGTGGCCCTTCTTCGGCAGTCCGCAGCGGCCACAGTTGTAGTTTCCCCTCTTCTTGCCGTGCCTGAGGAGGAGATCGGCGTCGGAGATGGGGGTGACGGGGTGGGGTTGGTGGCCCTGCATTTGGCGCGTGGACAATCGGGTAGAGAGCGAAAAATGGAGGTGTGAGAAGGGTTTCAGACGAAAATGGTGGAAAACTTGGGAGCAGAAATTAAAGGGGTTATGGGGAAGGCGCGGGAGAAGGTAGCAGATTTGGCGCCTCAGGTTTTGAAACCATTTTTCTTTTTTTCAGGGAGGAGCCATTTTTGGAGCGGGAGACAAATTATCTATCTTCTATCTACATTATTGTTACTCGCAGTGCGCCCGCGCCTATCTTTGACCTCGTAGTGAAATAGCTTTAGGAAAATTATAATTTTCGTGTAGGCTACATTTTGATCGGTTTTAACTTTATATATACAACAAGTAAACATATCATATTAATAAATTATATTAGTGTTATTTAAGTAATCAGATAATATGATAGGTTTATTTGTTGTATATAGAAGGTTGACTCCACTATGAAGTCCACTGTTGGCTTCATAGCAAAACCGATATTTTTATAAAAAATAGTTTTTACAAGGTTAATTTAGGGGTGTATTTAATTAAGATTTTTAATACTTTTGCGTATTCAATTAATTTTTTTTTAAAACTTTTAAAACGACCACATGAATTCAATTGAGACTTTTAAAATGTTTTTTTTAAATTTTTAAAAATCTTTCTCAATGGCGGATCCAGGATGATTAAATAATGGGGGCACCATATAATTAACAACAAAAATAATTTAAAAAAAAATAATGTCTTTACATTACACATAAGTCATATCTTACAACTGTTCCTTACGAGCTTTCATTTTCTGAAAACGATCAATCACTACATCATTCGTAACATTTTCTAGCAAATCATTTTCTACATAACAAATCAAAATATCATTTAGAAAAAGATCACTCATTCGGTTTCGCAAATAATTCTTCACGTACTTCATCGCCGAAAAACTTGTCTCGACAGTTGCAGTGGCAACGGGCAAAGTAAGAGTTAACTTCAAAAGTTTATACACCAATGGATGCGAAAGATGTTTCTTTGTTTCGACCATAACTCGAGCGAGATCACTGATATCCTTTAGGTTGGAAAATCTTCCATCATTTCGAACATTATCAATGTACACTCCAAGTTAATCTTCAAGAGCTATGCGATCCATGGAGCTAAAGTCTTCCGGATAAATCTCAGCCAATCTCATCAACTTTGAGGGATCAAACTCATGGAACGAGTTAGCAGGATTTAACGAAGCTGTACAAATAAGTAAATCATAGTTGACTTCATTAAAGCGATCATTAAATTCTTGAAGTTGCATATCAAGAACAGTGTAAAAACAATTCACCAAATAATAATGTAACTTGGTGACCTTTTCTTTTGCTCTGGGCCGCCTCAGATCAATATAAGATTCCACCATATCTGGCACTGCAATGTCATGTTTCTCACAAAAAGATGATATTTTCTCGAGGAGAGAATCCCACCCATCATCTCTAAGCTTTTGAAGTTGACTTTTAGTTGCCTTCACCAACAACATAGCATTCAAGATGTCTTGATCTTTTCTTTGCAATGTCGTTGATAAAGAATATGTGAATCCTAAAACCTTCAACATCAAGTGTAAGTAAAACACAAAATCAAAGGTCTGCAAATAAATGAGAAGACCACGTGCTTGATGTCTAGATTCATCTTTTCCATCACTTTCAACAAATTCAAGCACCTCAATAACCGAAGAAAATAATTCAACCAAATGCATAAGTGTTTTGTAATGAGACCCCCAACGTGTACTCCCAGGCCTGTGCAAAGAAATCTCTTGATGCAGCCCTTTTCCTGTTGCAATTGCACCACTACCAATGGCTTCTTTCACTTTGTTTTGTTGGGCTTCTCGAATCATATCCTTTCTTTTACAAGAAGATCCAACCACATTCAACAAAGTAGCTACCATATCAAAAAAATTCTTAACATCATGATGTTTTTTTGCAAGTCCCACTGTAACAACAAATTTCGTGAATTGAATTTAAAAACACGAAAAATATTATTCAAATGAATTTCTTGAATCAAAATAAATATTGCGGATTACAATCTCTATTATTCCTCTGATTCTTCTCACAAACAATATTTAAGTCTTGGAGCGAAATCTTCGGCTTGATCTTCTCCTTGACTTGATCTGACTTGATTAACGTAACCCGAGGGCTTGAAAGCTTTTTCCCGGATCAAACGTCGAAATATCCCAAGAACGCGAAGAACACGAATCCTGGGTCTTCGTCGCAAAGTTGATCTCGAATCTTCTTCACGCCGGATTTGAATTTACTAACGTTATTCGGAGGCTTTTGCAGCTTGTTTCCGGATTGAACGTTAGTCTTGAGGTTGAACGCGCTTGAATCTTGCTCTAAATCTTCAAGAACGCCTTTGAATCTTCAAGAACACTTGAATCTCGTCGAGAGATCTTGAACTTGAACTTGAATACAAACGTAATTCGGAGGCTTGGCAGCTTGTTTCCGGATTAAACGTCGGTTTTGAGCTTGATGTGCTTGAATATTCCTTCGAATCTTCAAGAACGACTTCGAATCTTCAAGAACACTTGAAACTTGTAGAGAGAATTCTCTAGAGCTCTTGAACTTCAAAATATGAATTATGATGTGTCTTTGACATTAGGGAGAGCCCCTATTTATAGGTGTAGGAGAGAGCATCCTACCAAAATTAAGAATCGTAGGACGCAATTTGATTGGTCCATGACGATTCACATGAGATCTTCTAGATTTACTTAGATCTCCCAAGATCTTCTAGATCCACATAAATCTTCCAAGATCTTCTAGAAGATATGATTTATTTACCAAGAATAAGACTTGACACTTGGCATTATTTGATTGGTCAAGAATTAAAATATTAAAATATCAATTAATTAACTATTTAAATTTAGGAATTAAATATATGGAAATTCCTAAAATATAAATAGAAAATATAACTTGATTTTTAATAAATTAATTTCCACGTAGCGCGATTTGATTGGACACAATTTTTATGTATCTACAAATGCCCCCTCGAGACTTGTTCACGGACGACGGTCTTGAAGTGAATGAGTCGCGACATCATTTATTGGGCTTGGAAGACGTGATATGGACTTACAATACCCAAGAGAGCCCAAATTAACAAACTTGCTATGTGTATCAAATGGCCCAAAGTCTTTACCCATTTAAATGCTTAAATGGGCCTTCATGGCCAACCTCAAAATTAAAATGATCCAATTCTTGACACAAAGAAAGGCCCAAAATGTGAAGTCTAGAAATTGTCCATTTAGGATGTTAAGATGGGTGCTGCATTTGGCCAAATTTTGAGCCCACTTTCATTAACTTCCATCTTCCAATTTCAATTCCAAATAGACACACAAGGACCGATTTATAATTAATGCAAATCTCAACCTCTTTAAATTTGGCAGCAAATAATTGAATTCCAACCCACATAATCCAAGCACATGAAAAATATACACGCACGAATCAATTAATTCCAAAATCGAATATTTACTTTCCACGTACAGAATATGTTAAAAGCAGAGACTTGAGTATACGAATCTGTATACGTACGTGCAACATATATATACTTTCCAAACTTCAAAATTCTACAATCCATGTATCCAGGCGAATTCCTCCTTGTATCAGGTAAGAAAATTTTCCTAAAACTTGCAGCAACCCATCCTATAAAAGGGGGACACCATGACTCCATTCTTCAAACAAGCACGACTTTTTCTTTGCTCTACTCTCTCCTTTATTTCTCTTGATATGGCCATACTGTCGTACATCGGTTCAGTAACCGCGGCATTGCCGCGGTTGGCTCACAACGGTTCATATCGTCACGGTTTAAGATTACCGAGTCGACTTCAGCAAAGTCGACTCTATTAGTAAGGTTCCATGATACTCAGTCAAGAGGCCCGGCTCTCGACCGAGCCAATGTACACCTGTCGACTGGAGTAAGTCGACTTCTGGTAAGACAATGGTCAGACGTATTAGGGTCTACTAACAGTTGAGTGCGACCCAGTCGACTCGACATAATGTCTCAGGTCGACTGAGGAAGTCGTAGCTCGTGGTGCCCGATAGCTTTGACACACCTCAGCATATTGAAGAAGCATTAAGGATAAGGAGGAAGCTCAGGAAGGATCTAGATGCTGACTAGGAAGTAGGCAGAATATGAACCGACCGGGGTATTCTGGACATTTCCCTTAAGTCGGCCGGGGCATTTTGGGGACTTCAGGTATATATTGTACTCCTATATAAAGGACTAAGGTAATCCCAAAACCCTAACTCCCATTCATTCCATACACTTCTATTACTGCTGCTGCTCTCATAGCAACCCCCATCATCTCTCTCACATACTGACTTGAGCGTCGGAGGCTCTACGCCGGAAAAACCCTCCGGCGTTGAGTTCTTGCAGGTGTTCGTACGATTCAGCAACGGCTCGAAGGTCATCAGGCCAGATCTAAGCTCATTCATACCGGTTCATCCCAGATCCGGACGTTTTCTTACCAAACCGTTCCAGATCTGAGAGCAGACCCATCATCTCTGTTTTTCTGTTGCTTTTATTTCTCCCTTTTTTTGTTGCTGTTAAAAAAAAATTGGCAGCTTACATTAGAGAGAACATAAGCAGTTTTCTTCTAAGTTTTCAACTGCCAAGTGTTCGACAGATTACCCCAAAGGTATTAGCAAACTGATTTTTGAATATCTTCCCCGTTTCTTTTTTTTTTCCTTTTTATTACATCTGTGCTCGAGTTATCATTCGGGATACCCACAAAGCTGTTTGGGACTTCTTACGGGCTGTCCAAGAGCTGA